TCCAGCTTGGCGTTGGGAGGGGGTAGTCAGCAAGGTGCCACTGCCCTCAGCAGGCAACAGGTTAGGACTTTTGCTTTCAGCCCCTGCCCCACCCTGTGATGCCAGGGGAGAGTGCATGGGAGCCCCACAGCAGGGGGCACAGAAGAGCAGTGGTTGGCTTGGGAGTTGAGACAGGGTGTCCAGTGGTGGACCAGGGACCAGAGCCCCTCCCCACAGCCCTGCCACCCATTCGCATGACCCCAGGGAACGAGGGGAGGTCAGGGTCCAGAACTGACCAGCAGGCTCATTCCCCTAAGGACTCCTGTCCAGCCCTTCTGGTGGGGTGGGCCAGCCTGGGGTGTCTGATAAGACTGGCCAAGCCTCCTCCCCACACCCAGCTGGGGATGGCTCCCACCCCACCCCACTTATCACACCTTCCACAGCTGGCAGACCCCCAAATGCCTCTGCAGCCTGCCTGCCCTGTACCTACACACAGCTCCCTAGGAGGTCCGGGGGGCACACTAGAGGGACAGGAGGCCAGCCCTGGCTGCCTAGCCCTGTTCTGCATCCCAGCTTGGGTCACCCTCACTGCCTGGCCGCCGAGGCCTGTGGAAGCTGGGTGCCTGCAGGTGGCGGGCTGGGGGAACCAAGGTCAGTCTCCCATGGGTGACCTCAATGGGTGACCTCAATGGTCTAGGAGGGGGCCTGGCTGGCTTGGGGTGAAATGGTCAAGTGGATAGATGCCCCCTCTCCCTGGGGAGGGGCCCTGTGTGCCCTCCTATGAAATGGTACCATTGTACTCCCCATGAGGCTGGGCCCAGGGGAGCCTGATTCAGGGGTCCGGCCACAGGTGCACCCTCTCCCCAGGACACTGAGGCAGCAGAGGCTCTGGAACCAGAAAGCTTTATTGCCAAGGTAGAAAAGTGGCTATGCCCACAGCCACGCAGCGAGAAACGCGGTGGGAGCTGGGAGAAGGCCAGCCGACAGGGCACCCCAGCCTGGGGGGCTGCTTGAAATAACTTAGAACAGAGGGCAACGCAAAAATAAATATTGAAATGCAATTCTTCGGGGGTGGGGGTAGGGCTGCCTTGGACAGGAGGACCCCAGGCCAGAGGCTGGTGCTTTGTTCTTAAATTAAAGGAAAACCCATATATTAAATTGTGACAGTGAAGTTTGATGATTGGGAGAAAAGGCGTGAGGTGTGCCAGCTTCCAGCCTGGCTGGGCTGGGCAGCAGTGTCCTGGGGGACAACTGCCCCCAGCCCCTGGGGGTCTGTTCATTCTGGTAGTTACCCCCTCCCCCCATATCTAGCACCAGCACTGCCTGGGAGGGGCTGGTGACCCCCAGGGGCAAACAATCAAACCTGCCTGCCTCCCCATACCAGGAGCTGAGGGCAGGCCCTTCTGGGGTGGGTACTGGCGATGGGGCTGGGGAGGCCAGGGCGGAGCAGGGCACCCACCCCCTGCCTCCAGCATAAAGCCAGCTCTGCTCCACTGAAGATTTACAGTATCAAACTTGAAAAAAAATTATTACGAAAA